CTGTATGGTGTGCTATTCAAGTGAGGATCCACACTAACTCCTGTCATTGGGCCTCTGCATCTATGATTAATGAAAAAACTGAGGAGCTCCTCAAACAAAAGATATAATGATATAATTTTGGGCACCAATAACTCCATCTCCAGACAAGAAGAAAGGGCTTTTTCCAAACCCAGTATTCACCTTTTAGTCTGGCCTAAGGTATCCTCCTTCCTAAATGCCTACTCCACATTAAAATTATGTGTGCTGTCTGCCAAAAATTAGTGCAGTGTAAAAGGGGTCTAAATCTAAAATTTTTAACATATGCACTAAACCCAAACATTTTACAGCATGTGTCAAACCTTTTCCAACCTCTATAAGCAGTTATAAATATCATTAGATCAATTTCAGTAAGAGTGCAATGACATACATTGTTGTTACTAAATACCACCAGTTCCAGTCTCTGAGAAACAGTGACAGGAACCCCAATCTTTCCCCTTCTTAAGTGAAGAGGTGTTAATATTTTAAAAATGAGTTTTGTGTCCCAAGGATTAAAGCAGATGTTTAGTCTACATCTCAGCTTCAAAGCAAACCAGAGCTCAAACTGTAGAGGCAGTTCAGCATTTGTGCTTCAGGGCAGGTGGGATTCCTGGGTGCGGTGAGCTGGATTCAGCTATCTGAAGCACATCCTGGCACTATCTCAGGCGTGTGTCCCTGGACTCTGGAGGCAGGATGACACCCTGCAGAGTGGTGTAGCAGGTTCTGTTATCAGGCACTCCTTTCCTTGACCAAGGACCTCTCCCCAGTCTGGAACTCCTCTGTGTCCACAGCCTCGACACCATCCAGGTTTTATTTTCTTTCTGTGAAAAAAAGCATAAACACATCCTCGACCCCAAATATATATAGGTCGGGTTTTTTCATAATGCATTGCAAGGGCTTTTTTACCTTGCGTTAGCAAAGGTCAGCTTGGTGTTATCAGGCCAGATCCATTTGCATCTGGATCTGCTTGCAACTTTCATAAGCTGCTTTCAAGGAGTCTTGACATGCTCCACAATTTTTTTTATTATTATTAGCCATATATGCAGTTCTTCCATTGGAAGAGCCATTTGTAAAATTTTAGCATAAAATCCTTTTAGGGATTTTTTGCCATAACATTAGTAAAATACAGGCAATGATCTGGAAAAAGATTACTGGTTTTGGCCTTTGAATTGAGCAAAGGCAATTGTCCAGGAATCCATCTTAAAATTATCAATGAATCTATTATTTAGTATAAGAAGCATTGATCATAGTCAATATTTTATCAAGCCATTTTCCAGATGTTATCCTGTCCTTTTATACCAGACAGGCTACTGTTCTAAATTAAGAGTTTAATATCTTAATTGGCAAAACTGAGAAGGTTTAGCCATAAACAGCATTTTTTTATAAAACTGTTGTAGAATAAGTTTTATATTTAATATACATATTTGCCATAGCTGAATTATAATTAATATACTGTATTTGTTGATTATTGTATACTTTACCTGTTTGAGTACCTGCTAGGCAACTTGTTTTAAGCTCTCTATTGGAAACTGTTTTTTGTAAGAATTTTACCTAGCAGCTCAATATCTCTCATAAGAACATTATAAGCAGGGCTTTAACCATTGGACATCCAAAAGTTTGTAAGCTATCCTCCTCTTAAGTTCCAAGTCTGCCTTGCAGATAGGAAAATGGAAAAATGAAGCATTTTAAAACTAGTAATGCTGGTCTCATTAGACACCAACATGTAGAAGAATGAAAATAGATCTATATCCATCTTCATGAACAAAATTTAAGCCCAAATGAGCCAAAGGCTTCAGCATATAAAAATTTTGTTGAAACTTATAGAGAAAAATTTTTTGAAGCACACCTTGCCACATCGTAAACACAGCCTCAGTGGCACAAACATTGTGAGAAACCATAAATTAGATCTCCTGAATTGAGAACCTTTTGTATAACAAGGCTATGGAGTGGGAAAAGATCTTTATTTATCATAAATCCATTCCAAAAATATGTGAAGAACTCAGGAAATTAGTTATTAAAAATTTAATCCAATAAAAATATTTGTTATAGACCTAAACTGAAAAACTCTTAACAAACGTACTTAAAAATGACTGAGAGACACCTAAAAAATGTTTGAATATAACATCCTTTAGCCGTCAGAGAAAGGCAAATCAAAACTCTGAGATTTACCTTATCCTTGTAAAAATGACCAAGATTAAAAATTATTGTTAACAATCTATGCTTAAGAAAACGTGGGTAGGAAAAAAACTCGCTGGAAGTGAGCTGCAGCCCGTGGCGGCAGCTGCGGCGCTGGGAGCAGTGTTGGAAGTACATACTGCACAGCCCTCCCTGAATCACATACAGCACTGAAAAACCTGGAGAAATCCAGACTCTCCCAGCAGGAAGAGAAAAATCAAAAATCCAGGACTAGCCTGTGAGGGCACCAGACCTCATTCCAGATGGTTGTGAGCCACCACGTTGCCGGGAATTGAACTCAGGACCTTTGGAAGAGCAGGCAATGCTCTTAACCACTGAGCCATCTCTCCAGCCCCCCCAGCAGGAAGAGGAGAATCAAAAATCCAGGGTTAGCCTGTTCAGCAACCCTGCACCAGGAACTGACTGAAGACTGCAATCCTGATAGCAATCCCCGAGAAACTGCAATCCTGAAAAACTAGTTTTCCAGCTGCAATTATCACAGTACTGTTTTAGGAACTAGCTGATTATGACCCTGGGAGTGGTCCCGAGAGGCAGGGAGCCTCCGTAGGTTTTTGAAATTTTTATGACCTTTCTGGACCACCGGGCTGTGGTCTTCTTAAAAATTCTTTTTTCCGGTCACTGGGGGTCGAACTCCTCCCCCACCAACCAAGGCCACGTGTAAGCGACCTCAGCAAGGACGGTCTTTGGTGAGCCATGAGGGGGCCGCGCCCTCCCAAGACCTGAGTGAGAGTCTCCCCAGCACTGAGGGACCTCCATTATGTAAAATTAGGCAGATATCTACCTCAAAACTTAGCAGTAGCCCTTTTGGGCCTAAATATAAGGTTGTTTAACCATACCACAAGGACACGTGCTCTGCCATGCCCAGAGCAGAACTTTATCATAGCCAGAATCTAAAAATAACCCAAAGGTATCTCTTTTACACCTAGGATAAATGAGACATCATCCTTTTAAATATCCATGAATACCACAAAATATCTAGGAGTGACTTTAAGCAAGCAGGACAAAAGTTTTTGGGTCCTGTCATCTCTGCCTGTGAAGGCGGAAATGTTTTTTACTTTTAACCATTATCACTTGCTAAGAGTATAACTCTGGCCCTTGATAAATTTAGTGAGAGGCCTGAAGCAACACCTGGCAGCAGGAAAGAACCTCAAGCTGAAACATTATGATTCCCACCCAAGAGCGGGCCGTACAAACGAAAATTGTCGGATAAGAATTTTAAATCTTGAAAGATCCCCTACTTTCTTGCGAAAGCAGAAGAAACACAGCAAAAATGACAATTTCACTGAAAGCAGTCTACGGATTCAGTGTAAATGTCCATTAAAAATTATAGCAACATTTCTCACAGAACTCACATACAGACTTTATGTAATGTTCATTAAAATTATAGCAAAACTTTTCACAGAACTCAAAAGAACAATACAGAACTCAAAAGAACAATCCCCAACCTTATAATAAAGAAATAAAAACTCAGATAGCCTAAACAATTCTAAAAATCCTCTGAATGCATCACAATCTTTGACCTTAAAACTTTTTCTACAGAAACACAGTACTGAACTTAATCTACCTTAGATATAAACTTTTACACCTACAAACTAAAGATTTTTGACCAAGAAGCAAGATTTTTGAAATGGAAAAGAAGCATATTTACATGCAGCTGCAGCTTTTTGAGTCTAGACTCCTTTATAGCAAACCTGCCTGTCAGCTTTTGCTCCATGTGGCAGGGAGTTAAAGACATATACATAAAGCAAACACATAAATCTCTGTTTTTGACTCTTACTCCTCTGTCCCTGAGTGAATGCTTAAATTCCTGTATGAATTTCTCTTCCTTTGAAAGTGATTGTCTCACCCCTTGTGGGACGACGTGAACCTGCGCCTACCTCCCGTTCTGCCATCTGTCCGAGTACTACAGCCGCAGAACCTTCATTTTTCTTCTTGTTGTTGTCCCGGGACTGCGCGTGTCGTCCGATAGCTGACCGTACTCCGAGTCACTGGTTCGGGCGCCACTGTGGATTGCGTTGGGTGGGCTACTCAGTCTAGGGGTTGTAACCCACCCGGCAATCCAGTTATTCCAGGGTCTCGGAGGGGCGCTACCTGGAAGGGAGTGAGCTAAGACAGAAGAACGAGGCCAAGCAACTTTGTCAAGGCCTCAGTTTATTAGGGACGGGTTACAGTTTATATATGGTAAGGGATGAGGGGCAGGGTACGGGATCTCGCAGGCCGCGTGGTTCCGGTCACGTAGCTCGGTTACATTCAGACAGACAGGCCAGAAGTCACAAGTGGCCACACCTGGTTCCCTGGATAGCTGGAATGTGAGGCGGGTTCCGCTAAGATTAGCAGTTAATTGGGTGAGGGGCAGGTTTTGTCAATAGAACATAACTATGGGTGTGAGGTTCTCTGCAGACTCCCTAGAGTGATGGTTTCTGTAATGATTGTTAGGGGGGAAATGGCTCCTGACATATTCCCCCTCTCTTATATAAAGGCAAACAGTTATTAAGTGGAGGGCACTAAGTCAGAGTCAACCCTGGTGTCAGATTTAAAAGAGAAGGGACTGGGACAAGTAGAAACCCTCCTCTCGAATGGTGAAGCAATTTTACCTCTCATGGGAACAGAGGGGTGCCTTATGATTAGCATTAGTTCCTTGGAGCTTCTCAAATAAAAGGTATCTAGCAAGAGTTAAAGTAAGCAGACCACAGGGCATCCTGTCTTAGGCTGTGTGGAGAGCTTTCCTCGTACCTGGCACCATGCCATGTTGAGCCGGCCTTTACAGCCTCTGTATGGTGTGCTATTCAGGTGAGGATCCACACTAACTCCCGTCATTGGGTGCCTGAGTCTATCATTAATGAAAAACTGTGAGGAGCTCCTCAAACAAAAGATATAATGATATAATTTTGGGCACCAATAGCTCCATTTTTAGACAAGAAGGAAGGGCACCTTCCAAACCCAGTATTCACCTTTTAGTCTGGCCTAAGGTATCCTCCTTCCTAAATGCCTACTCCACATTAAAATTATGAGTGCTGTTTGCCAAAAATTAGTGCAGTGTAAAGGGATCTATATCTAAAATTTTTAACATATGCATTAAACCCAAACACTTTACAGCATGTGTCAAACCTTTTCCAACATAAGCAGTTACAAATATCATTAGATCAATTGCAGTAAGAGTACAATGACATACATTGTTGTTACTTAATACCACCAGTTCCAGTCTCTGAGCAACAGTGACAGGAACCCCAATCTTCCCCCTTCTTAAGTGAAGAGGCATTAATATTTTAATTAAAATGAGTTTTGTGTCCCAAGGATTAAAGCAGTCTGATGTTTGGTCTGCACCTTAGCTTCAAAGCAAACCAGAGTTCAAACTGTAGAGGCAGTTCAGCATTTGTGCTTCAGGGCAGGTGGGATTCCTGGGTGAGGTGAGCTGGATTCAGCTATCTGAAGCACATCCTGGCACTTATCTCAGGCGGGTCTCCCTGGACTCTGGAGGCAGGATGACACCCTGCAGAGTGGTGTAGCAGGTTCTGTTATCAGGCACTCTTCTCCTTGGGGGCAGGGAAGGCCGGACCAAGGACCTCTCCGCAATCATCTCTGGAACTCCTCTGTGGGATGTCTGCAGCCACGACTCAGGTCCAGATTTTTTCTTTCTGTGAAAAAACATAAACACATCCTCGACCCCAAATATATATAGGTCGGGTTTTTTCATAATGCATTGCAAGGGCTTTTCCACCTTGCCTTAGCAAAGGTCAGCTTGGTGTTATCAGGCCAGATCCGTTTGCATCAGGATCTGCTTGCAACTTCTATGAGTTGCTTTCAAGGAGCCTTGTTATGCTCCACAATTTTTTTTTTTTTATTATTAGCCATATATGCAGTTCTTTCATTGGAAGAGCCATTTGTAAAATTTTAGCATAAAATCCTTTAAGGGATTTTTTGCTATATCATTAGCAAAATACAGGCAATGATCTGGGAAAAGATCATCGTTTTTGGCCTTGAACTGAGCAAAGGCAATTGTCCAGGAATCAATCTTAAAATTATCAATGAATCTATTGTTTAGTATAAGAAACATTGATCATAGTCAATATTCTATCAAACCATTTTTTCAGATGTTATCCTGTCCTTTTGTACCAGACAGGCTACTGTTCTAAATTAAGAGTTTAATATCAACTGGCAAAACTGGAAAGGTTTAGTCATAAACAGCATTTTTTATAAAACTGTTGTAGAATAAGTTTTACATTTAATATACACATTTGCCATAGCTGAATTATAATTAATATACTGTATTTGTTGATTATTGTATACTTTACCTGTTTGAGTACCTGCTAGGCAACTTGTTTTAAGCTCTCTATTGGAAACTGTTTTTTGTAAGAATTTTACCTAGCAGCTCAATATCTCTCATAAGAACATTATAAGTAGGGCTTTAACCATTGGACATCCAAAAGTTTGTAAGCTATCCTCCTCTTAAGCTGCAAGTCTGCCTTGCAAATAGGAAAATGGAAAAATGAAGCATTTTTTTTAAACTAATAATGCTGGCCTCACTAGACACCAACATGTAGAAGAATGAAAATAGATCTATATCCATCTCCATGAACAAAATTTAAGCTCAGCCCAAATGAGCCAAAGGCTTCAGCATATAAAAATTTTATGTTGAACCTCATAGAGAAAAATTTTTTAAAGCACACCTTGCCACATCGTAAACATAGCCTCAATGGCACAAACATTGTGAGAAACCATAAATTAGATCTCCTGAATTGAGAACCTTTTGTATAACAAGGCTATGGAGTGGGAAAAGATCTTTATTTATCATAAAATCCCTTCCAAAAATATGTGAAGAACTCAGGAAATTAGTTATTAAAAATTTAATCCAATAAAAATATTTGTTATAGACCTAAACTGAAAAACTCTTAACAAACGAACCCAAAAATGACTGAGAGACACCTAAAAAATGTTTGAATATAACATCCTTTAACTGTCAGAGAAATGTAAATCAAAACTCTGAGATTTTACCTTATCCTTGTAAAAATGACCAAGATTAAAAATTATTGTTAACAACCTATGCTTAAGAAAACGTGGGTAGGGAAAAAATCGCTGGAAGTGAGCTGCAGCCCGTGGCGGCAGCTGCGGTGCTGGGAGCGGTGACCGGTGTTGGAAGTACATACTGCACAGCCATCCCTGAATCACATACAGCACTGAAAAACCTGGAGAAATCCAGACTCTCCCAGCAGGAAGAGAAAAATCAAAAATCCAGGACTAGCCTGTGAGGGCACCAGACCTCATTCCAGATGGTTGTGAGCCACCACGTGGTTGCTGGGAATTGAACTCAGGATCTTTGGAAGATCAGGCAATGCTCTTAACCGCTGAGCCATCTCTCCAGCCCCCTCAGCAGGAAGAGGAGAATCAAAAATCCAGGGTTAGCCTGTTTAGCAACCCTGCACCAGGAACTAACTCAATACAAAACCAGACTGCAATCCTGATAGCAATCCCGAGAAACTGCAATCCTGAAAAACTAGTTTTCCAGCTGCAATTATCACTCACAGTACTGTTTTAGGAACTAGCTGATTATGACATTGGGAGTGGTCCCGAGAGGCAGGGAGACATGCCCCTGCGACCATCACTGGGTTTTTGAAATTTTTTTATGACCCCCCTAGACCACTGGGCTGTGGTCTCTTAAAAATTCTTTCTCTTGGTCACTCGGGGTCGAACTCCTCCCCCACCAACCAAGGCCATGTGCGGGACCTCAGCAAGGAGGGCCTTTGGTGAGCCATGGGGGGGGGCGCCCGCCCAAGACCTGAGTGAGAGTCTCCCCAGCAGTGAAAGACCTCCATTATGTAAAATTAGGCAAATATCTACCTCAAAACTTAGCAGTACCCCTTTTGGTCCTAAATACAAAGTTGTTTAACCATACCACAAGGACACGTGCTCTGTCATGCCCACAGCAGAACTACTTTATCATAGCCAGAATCTAAAAATAACCCAAAGGTATCTTTTTTACATCTAAGATAAATGAGACATCATCCTTTTAAAATATCCATGAATACCACAAAATATCTTGGAATAACTGTAAGCAAGCAGGACAGAAGTTTTTGGGTCCCATCATCTCTGCCTGTGAAGGCGGAAATGTTTTTTATTTTTAACCATTATCACTTGTTTAGAGAATAACTTTGGCCCTTGATAAATTTAGTGAGATGCCTGAGTTTCAGCAATCTAGCCTGAAGCAACACCTGGCAGCAGGAAAGAATCTCAAGCTGAAACATTACGACTCCCACCCAAGAGCGGGCCGTACAAACAAAAAAATTGTAGGATAAGAATTTTAAATCTTGAAAGATCCCCTACTTTCTTGCGAAAGCAGAAGAAACATAGCAAAAATGACAATTTCACTGAAAGCAGTCTACGGATTCAGTGTAAATGTCCATTAAAAATTATAGCAACATTCCTCTCAGAACTCACATACAGACTTTAATGTAAATGATCATTAAAATTATAGCAAAACTTTTTACAGAACTCAAAAGAACAATACAGAACTCAAAAGAACAATCCCCAACCTTATAAGAAAGAAATAAAAAC